TAATAACAACAATTTATTTTATTAAAATCAATTAAAACAGCGGCAAAAAAAAAAAAAAAAAAATTACACGAGGACGAGCAGAATTGTACTGTAATATAGACGTGCTTAATATACTTATATTATTTTATGGGCTATTTCCACAATAAAAAAAAAAAAAAGCAAACGATTTGTATAAACACGCGCGCGCGCGCGCGCGCGCGATGGGCGAGTCTCTCGCGCGTTTACACCATAACCTTGTTGCCAATTTAAACGGACGTACCGGTATACGGGACGTCGTGTATAAATATAAATTCGGGGTCCGTCACAAAGCCGTGCGATTGTTTTACAAGCGAATTACGCCGCGAAACGTACGCGACGGACGAACATAATAATAATAGAGCGGTGTAGCCGATTGACGGGCTCCGCGGTAAAATGTTACGCGACGAGTATCGACGACATCCTCCGCAGCCACCGCGCGCAGCAGAGAGAATAATAAAAAAAAAAAAAAAAAAAAAAACGAAAATTCTCTAATGGGTTTTTAACGAAACGGTATATTTGGCCGGGGGGGGNGGGGGGGGGGGGGAACGCGAAAAACACGCGCTCCCTCGTATTTTCGAATTCCGCCGTTAACGGCGTGCTGCGACAGGCACAGGTTTGCGCGACACGTTTCACACGCGAACGTCGGATATTCGGTTGTTAGTCGGGGTTTTACGCGGTTTCCAACGGAAAACTCTCGCGTGCCGTTTACGCGATCGACGCGTTTTACGATCCGCGTACACACCGTACGTACGTACCGCCGTTTGCCGACCCGCGAAGTACCTATGCTGTTCCGCCGACAACAATAATATAATGTTGTGGCCCCTTCTCCGGGGCAAAAAACGGATCACCCGCCGCCGTCCAGGGTCCCAGACGTTTTCGCCGTAACAGTAGCAGGTGCCGCGGACGTTCGCGTTCCCCGGCTACCGTCAAATCATGCGTGTGTACGTATTCCCGTCTCGCGGGATCTCGTTACTGTTGGCCGGGCCTCTGCGCCCCAACGACTATGTGCAAACAATTGCTCGGACCTAGGTATTGCATTGTGCATTACGACGGTTGTTTGTTTCGGATTTCTCGACAGGGATCGTGATCATCTGGCTGCAACTTAATCGCTGGTCCGCACAAACGCGCGTTTGTTTCCGGTTTGTTTCGTTTGACGACGGGTGCCCCCCCCCCGCGTACACGTTTTCATAGTGTTTTTTTTAATTTTCTTCGAAAATCGTTTTATCGTATCACGTCTCGTCATTTCGTATTTCGAAATACGGTTTCAACCGCGACTATAATGACAACAAGAATAATTGTGTTCAGTACTACGATCTACTACAGCGCAACGGTGGGCATTAATTTATTATATTTAACGATCGTGTGTACTGGAGATACCGCGAGCGCGAGAAATACACAATAATACACTTTGTACATTCCCCGCCCCTACGCATCGTCATTTTTACCGTATTTAACCTTCGAAAGTTTAGATCGATACTATTCGGTGTAGAGTTTACATAATGAATAATCAAAACGCTGCGCGAATTTTCGAGAGAAAACTGTTGTGTTCGAAACGCGTGAGACGCATAAACCGGGAGGCTATGCGAAAATATGTGCGCTCGTACTACGGAGGTTCGTATTTGGACGAAGGCGGTATGTTCTTTTTGCGACCCCCCGAACTTTTTCGAAACAATAAAAAAAAATTCCAACCCCATTTGACCTGCCTAAAATAATTATTTCGTCCTTTTGTAACGTGCGATGAAGTCTTCGATTTGAAATACTTTCTTTTTTACATTTTTTTTTTTTTTTAAAGAGAAGCCATATTCTATCCGCGAGCAGTTTCACCTTTAAATATATATATTTTTTTTTATTTGTATTTGGTACTTAATATAATATTACATAAAAGCAATGATCGCGTATATCTATAACCTATACACACATTTTACACTCGCAATTTTTTACTAGTCGCGCTGCATGCAGATTGGAAACGCGGTTTTATTAATTTAATCGTTAAACTTAATATAGAGCCGACTAAATTAACTTGAAATAAATGTCGACGTAACACATAAAACGTAACTGTGCAAAAAATTCACGTGACACGAGTATATTGTACATTGTATGCCAGTAAACGAATGACAATAATAACAATAATAATATACCTAGAGCGTTAATTTTTTTCGAGTTAAATTTTCTGTCGATACTTTCGCCGTTTATTGAAACACGCAAATAAGTGCACATTATCATAATAATTTAGGAATATAATTACTCTAGATTACGCATTATACCTATACTCTACGCGTATACAAAAGTAAAAATAAAGCGGTATACTGCAGGTAATAATTATACATAAGTATAAGTAATTTATAAGCACTTAATTATGTCGAAATATTATGTTTTTAAGCTTAATATAATTTGTTAAGATCGATTTTGTGCCGATTCGGCAATACTATATTATATGATAACTATCGCTCGCGTTTAAAAAAAATAAAAAAAAAATCCAATATGTAAACAAGACGAAACGAGTTTTTTCATAATCACAATTAATAATAATAATAATAATGATAATAAATTGTATATTGCGATATAAACATAGTGTATTATGTCAAATATAAGTGAAACTCGGAGAAAAAAAAAATACAAGGTGATTTATTATCACGAATCAGCAATAGTCCGTAGCGCAATTCGATTTCGGTGTTTTTCGGAAACATAGTATACCTATATAATATTCAAATTTTTCAAGATATCTGTAAACGATTCTTTACAGTGCTTGTAAGTTTGTATCTGAGACGAAAAAAACAAAATTTATCTACTTCCGAGTCTCAATTAATAAAATAACATATTATGCGTATAGCCGGACAACGCGAAAAGATTTAATCACCCTGTAGACGTATTTTTTTTTCATTGAAAAATTATTGTTATTCCCGAGGCGCCGAAAATCCTTGATGACGATGTTTAAACAGGTAAATTCAGTGTGGGTTTCACACATTTATATACTATAGATTTTGGATGTGTTTTAAAGATACTTTTTACTTTAGTTACATAATTTAACTGTATCTATTTACTACTTTAGTCTTATGGAAAATATCGAAATATACGATTATATTTTTTATATCCGTTTGCGGTGAAATCGTTACTACTAAAAAAAAAAACATAACAAACTAATAAAAAGTGAATATCGACGACCGTATAAATATATTAAAACATACGGCGTATATCTCTTAATCTTTTTCGTATGTTACCGCGGGTCGATTATATATATTGTTTAAAATGCGGAGTCGTGCACACGGTCTACAAGTTTGTAACATTTCCAATTTCCCAATTATTACTATAAGGTATCGACAAAAAAAAAAAAAATTAATAATAATAATAATAAAAACTAAAACAAAATTATTTACTGAACAAAATAAATATTTTAACGAGATGGAAAAACACGCCATTCAAGGCCTCTGGACGACGATCTGTAGCAAATAACTCCTGCGCTTTTTTTTCTTTCAAAAATTCACTCTTTTGTTTGAATATTCGAGTGCAATATTACAGAACGAATCCGACACGATAATATTCAAAATACGAGGGGCGACAGTTTATACGTCTGAACGGATTTCGGTGCAACAACACGGGCGGAAATAAGGACGCTGACTAGGATGGACTTAAGTTCTCAAAATTATCTGATGCTACCCCTCCCCTCCTCTTTTAAATTTGTATTTTATATAGTAAGCTAGTTTTATAATATATTATAGAGTTATTCCAGCTCCTCCTTTGAAAGCAAAAAAAGAATCGGATTTCCGCCAACGTACAATAATTTGTAAGTTAAATCCGAATAAATTTAAAAAAGAATAAATGTTTTTCCTATTTCTCCGGAGTGCAATTTCAAAATGCGGAATTATATCTGTACAGTTTTCGTTTCAAGGTCTGTTAATATACCTAATTATTATTATAATCGCAATAATATTTCGCGTGCTATGCGTTTCATAACGAAATTACAAGTACGTCACAAAAAAAAAAAAAAAACTGTAATAATAGACTAATAAGAGATTGTTTGGCTGCTGTATACTGCATCAGCTATACCTACTATTGCCGGAGATAGTATTTTTTAAAACATTTTTTGTGATTGTGTAGTTCCACCAAGGAGAGATAACGTGAAACAATCGAGCACGTCCGAACATAACCCCAATTATTGGCCGAACGGAAATCGCAACGCCGGTATACGATTATAATTCCCCGTATTCCGACGTCCACCTGTTGAATTCGTGTGCGTATATTATAACGCGTCATCACCCGTACATTTGGTATATATAGTGACGACAAATCTGGATCGGCCAAAGTAGTCAAAGTTCATAATCCGAAATATACCGAAAGTCCGTCGGCTTTAAAATCCGGATTCTCCCTCCCCCCAAATCCGCACGAATTCGAACGCACAAAAAATTGAATTCTACGGTTAAATTTCATTCGTTAAAAAAAAAAAAAATCGTTATAAATAAACCCGTTTTTGCAATATTTTTCCGATCGAATATACTCGTGTCGTTGGGATTTACACGCTATAGTAGTATAATTATACTGATAAATAAAACTTCGTACTTTATTGATGTACACATATTTTATAGGTACCTGAATCAATGTGTGCGGTTCTTGGCCATTTGCTGCATAGTTTTTACTATTTAATGAACGGCGGAAAATCTCCAAATCTCTAAATCCCCGAGTGCAAACACCGTACACCCTAACACCCCGTCACTCGAGACTTTACTATCGATACACATCGACGTCATCGTTTACGACAAAAGTCAGTTAAACGATACCGTCTTTTTCTTCTTCTTCTCCTTCACCTTCGTCCCAAATATACGGGGTCTGCCACCCTCGTTCCACCTGACCCGATCTCCCATCTCGCATACGTCGGCTGTCCCCATATCATTCTATACAGTTATATCGTCTAGCACCACGGTGCTTCCTCTCGCCCGTTGTCCCCGCGCACATACGAGATGGGACATAATCCGCCAAAGTAGAACTCGACACACTGTTTGACAGAATATTGCACCGACTGTCGACCCGACGCAATCCCGTTTGTCGTATCTTATGACAGATGGAGGTACCGTGGGAACATGTTAATTCCTTCCTTTCATTCCTTCCACTGTAAATTTTTATTACTATTATTTATTTATTATTATTATTTTTTTTTTAATTTATCGTCGAAAAGAAAACGAGACAAGTTTTTTTATTCGTGCAATTTTCATTTTACGTATCGCGTTTCCGATGCTAATTCCTATTGCACGAGCAACTTACGAACTTTATGTTAATAATATGTTGTTATAAGCTATTCGATATTTTCTGAATCTCGGCTATTTTATTACGCTATTTTGTCCGAATCGACAAAAACTATTGATTTAGAACATTTTCATAACCCCAAAAATATTTAAGAACTCCCAATTATTCGGGATTAAACTTTTAAGGAATTTCAACTAAATAGGGATGCGCAAAAAGAGATTTATTTGAAATATTTTGATAGCAAATCGTAAAACAAAAACTCCAAAGTCGGTAAGTTTACGACGTGTCAAATGGAACTGACGAGTTCAGATCGAAGAAATGGATAATGATAGGATAGTGTAAAAATACAGTCCGATTTCAGGCCCGATCCGTTTCCGTCGATAAATCGGAAAGTGTAAAAATGGTCGGATTTTTGTTTTTTTTTTTTTTTTTTGGTGGGGGGGGGGTACGGTTTGACGACACTATATAAGAAGATATTTTTCTCGTCGCGGGTAGGCGCACAGCGACAATATTACGCGCGTTTTCTTACATTGTTTATTCGCCGCGTGTATTGTCTGTGCGCACGCGAGAATTTTTCGATCAACAACGTACGACAAGAACAACAATAATAATGTATCGTTTGCGAGACTCGGCGCAATAATTTTGCGATTGATTCCGCTGGAGACGCGCGCGTTACACAAAACGAGTTTTCGCGATTTATTTCGACGGTTTTTTTTTCTTTTCTTTCTGTTTCTCTCTCTCTCTTTCTCTGTCGCGTACCGAGAATAACATATTATTATGGTGAAACAGAAACCGCCTATCGGCCCGTTGCACGCGCGACTTTGTATACACGTATTGCACGCGATTTGTGCAGTACACGGTGCTGCGGCAGTCGTATTCGCGTCGGCTGGCGGTGAAAAACCGGCGGCGTATAGGAAAAATAGACAAAAAAAAAAAGGTGGGAAAAATCCGGAATCGGCACGAAACTTACTTTCCGCGGCGGGGAGCGGATCAACGGCGGCGGAGGCGGCTGCGGTGGGGATCACGCGCGCGTACACCACGCGATCCGCGTCGGGTTTTCCACGTCCAAACCGACACGCGTCCGCCGCGACAGTCTGATATCGCAGACCCAACGACAGAGGCCCGTGATAACAGCCAGCGTCGCAATAATCACGTATTACACTCTTTATAATTACTGCGGCTGTTACTGAACGTCGTGCGTCACCGGCGCCCGGCGGTTTTCGGAGACCCGGCATTCCGGAACACCCCGCCGAATAATATATACGCGAGCGATGACATTCCGAAGGGTACGTTCGGGGTGGCGTGTATATTATCGTATATGTACTACGGGATAATAATTGCTGTACCTTGTATTGTGTTACACGCGCACGTAAAGCATAAATATATTATAGAAAACGCCAGAGACGAGCGCGCGCCAACCCGCCGGAGGAGGAGCTTGCGCCGCCGGGCGAGCTTTAAGGTTAATCGCCGCCGTTCGCCAGAGCGCCGCCACCAGGTGTCGTCCGCGATGCGTTGTATTCCTAGCCGGTACGTCGTCGTCGTCACGTTGTTGTAATTTGTGCCGTGTCTGCGTACGACTGTTATAGGTACCTGTCTGTACGATAATAGTAAAAGGACGGAGAGGCGAACAACTGTCGCGACAGAGGAGGCGAATCGGACGGATAGAAAAAATAAATAAATAAAAAATAGAAAAAACGACACGAAAAAAACGGGAGTGAGAAGCGAAAAAAAAACAACTAACAACAACAACAACAACAACACGCACACGCACATGCACACGCGCCGACCGTCAATAATAATAACATAATATTACTATCGCGGCCGCCGCCGCCGCCGCCGCCGCTGCCGCCGACAACGACGACGACGACGCCGCCGAAGAGGAGCACACGCGTTACCGCCGCCGTCGCGAAGGGTCCAGTGTTGTCTGTGATCGCCGCGCGCTCCCCGCGTCTCGTTTTACATTTCCCGCCACCGACCTTTCGTTTTCGTTTATGATTCCCCCGCCGCCGCGTTTCGTCGGTTTTATTGTCGCGCGCTTTTTCCGGTTTTTTTCAAACGATTTTTCCCGATCGCGGTACTGCACCAGCGGCTATACCGCACGTCTTTCCGTGTGCGAATGCGGTCACCCATCGTCCGTAAGCCAAACGATGCTGATTAGACACCATCGACCATCCTCGGTCCATCGTCGTTATTATTCGCACGTCAACGATCCGTCTCATTTTAAACGGTAAGAATACTGCAGTATATAGAGTAAACCCATAACGTTCGTGAAACATCAGGGCTTAGTCTTTGATCCCGACCCTTGGATCCCTTGCCGAGTTTTTTGTTTTTAAATTCAGGGGTCTGATACTGGCACGGACTCGATTGGGGGACGGGGGCGCGCAAGAAAATTTTTTCCCGTTTTAAACGCCCCCTTAATCGGGATAATATTATATTTTAAAAACACGTTCCTCATATGATATGTTACAATTTTTTTTTTTGAAATATTATACAGATATTATTATACTTGGCTTATGACGCTTAGTGCCGTCGACCACCTCAAAATCAAAAACGCTATTTGCGCCCACGATGACCAGGGATGCAATAATGACGTTATAATCGCGATAACTACTGTCGTTTTCTTATCTGTGTTTGTATTTATTTATTACCCATTATTGTTATGGTTGCGAGCCGAAGACGATTGGCATAAATTTAAAAAAAAAAAAAGTCACATGTATATTATAACGAACTCGCGTATTTGTGAACCTGTTTCGCCAACAGGCGTGCCGGTTTTCGGTAAATGCGTTTGCCCAAGCCAAAGACTAATTGTCGTCATCACTCCGACACCCGTCAACCGGTCCCAAGCCCTCCCGGAGGAACTATACACGCGTACTGTTCGGTTAACCCCACCAAACCATAACTGCCTAATGGCCAATAAAATTTTACGAGTATTTTATAATTTCGCACGTCACTACAACTATAATGTTATAAGCGTCGAATTGTCAAATCGATTTTGGGACCGCGTATAATTCGTAAGAACTATTATAGTAATTAATATATTATTATCATTGTCCGTTTGTAATTCCGAAAATTCGACACGTGCGTTCGAAAGAGACGAGATAAGATTTAATAATTTTTTTACGGTATTATTTTTTTTCACCTTATCAGTATAATTTGTTTTTATCTTTCTACTAAAACTATCGTTTTTATTATTATTATTATTATCATCGTTATTATTAAACTATATTTACGCGTATAACGAGATGTTGATTCGATTCGCCGAAGAGCGTAATAATATTATTCAAATAATAATGTTTTAGTCATTTTTTCTGTAAAAGTAATCGCTAGAGGTTCGTATAGTACGTATATTATATATTTACAACTAGAATAAAAACTTCTCGGACGAAAATTTCACGCTAGAACACACGCGTTAAAAATGTACGTACTTGCTATATACGTGTACTCGTATTGTATGTATTTAAAAACATACATTTTTTTATACTTGAAAACATTATTTATTATTAACAGATTCGTATACGTACGGTAATGCATTAACATTGAACAATTTTAATTTTAATTTTAAAAAATAAATACGAAACTATACAATGAGTATTCAAGTTGAAATATTAACCGTGTACGGGTATAGGCGTCCCAGTGTGGCGTCTCTTCGACATTTTTACCGCCTTAACAAAAGGTAAAAACGCCGTACAAAAAGAAAAAAAAATCACCCTGTATACGGAAAACAAACGTTCACACAATAATATAGTAAAATAAAAAGTATGTGATAAATATGATATATAGCTGTTGGAAAATAATATATAATGTGTCATGAATACATTGACTCACTGGTCAATATATTATCTGTCCCGTAAAGATAAAATGTACGCACGTCATATTATTTCTAGTCAGAACTGGTCACTTACGCGTAATATTTTTATTTTCTATTATTTGTTTTGCTTTTAAATCCACGATTAAAAACAATAACATTAGATAATACTGTGTAGCGTTAAAATATCACGGCTCTGGTTGAATTTCGACGTTTTTTACACGCGCCTCCGGAAATATTGTATATACTTTCGGTTTTAGTTTTTTTTTTCTCGTCCCACACTATATTATACTTAGTCCGGGAATTTTTCGACTTTATAAACGTTTTCCCGCCAACAGTCGTACTTACACTTGCGGATATTTGCACAATGCACATTTTGTGAAATATGATATTTATTTGATCAGGTATATTATTTGGAGTACCTATAGTATTTAAGAAGAAAAACCCGAACAAGTGCGAAATCGTCTCTCGCACTGAGGGTCTGTATACTGTTTTCGCGTTTGTGAATTTTTCCATTGTGTGAAAAGATTATTTTCAGGACATTTTTTTCGTTTAAGTAACCGCGATATGAGTGATATTAAGTGTGAACTTTAAGACGATATCTCGTTTTGTTTAGAAGCATCTGACGGACAGACGGCAATTACAGAGGTGTCAAGAGAGGGGAAGGGCAACTGGTCCAGGACATAAAAATTGTAAATTGTTAAAGGAAAGGTATTATTATACATGTATTTTGAATTTAAACTAAAGGATTAATATAGCCGTTTTAAATCTCTATAATTTTCTTGGGATTTGCATTATTGGAAGGATTTAAAACGATCATATCCTAGGAAAAAAAAAATTAATTAAATAGCTATGGCACGAAATCTAAACTTGCCTCAGAGTGCTTAACGCAACCAGTTGACGAGACAATTCGCATTTAATTTGGAGTATGAAGCGAGTAGTGGAGCATCATTTGTGTGGTGGCACATCGCGTGGCATTTTATAAAGTTCCACTACTCTCCTATATTATCCGAACTTAAATGTGGAATATCTCGTTAATGAATTAATGGAAATAAAAAATATTTAAAAAAAATTGTTTATAAACTAACACTCCATATATTTTTATATAATGTTTAATATAGATTGCTATTTGAAAATCAAAAGTAGGTTGTCGTTTTACCCCCGAAAATAAGAATGAACAAAAAAACAGTAATGTAATATTTAAGAGTTGTTCGTTTCTTTAATTGTCAAAAAATTAAAATTCTTGAAAAAGGTCAATATTTTCTAAGATAGTGTACCCACTTAAGCGGATCACTCGGTATATCAAGCATACAAAAATATCGAAATTAAAAAAAAAAAAAGTGTCTAATGCTTTGATTTTTTCTTAGTATATTATTGTATTATCGTAGCAAAACAACTAAATATGTGATTTGGTGATAATATTTGGTAGTTTCTGTTTTTGTTTTTTTTTTTTCAATTGATATACTACATATAATGTTACTGATAAATTTTTGCTCACTTCGAGCGACCACTCCCGGTCACCATGATTGTAAGCGAAATCCACGACTGAAATATTATAGATTGTTACATTTCGTTCTCTCTCGTTTATCGTCATATCGGGTGGAGGGGTGGGATTGCTAAAAAATAGCAGCGTAAAATAATAGAATATCACAAATTCACATTTCACAACACCATGCATGGCACGGAACACGGTATAGTCTGTGTTATCAAAAATGCACATCAGTGACCAGTGTATCCATTGTTCTTTAATTCATCTATGATGACGTCGGTGGCATCTAGGATGGCTTTATCACTCACATTGTTTACGAGTCGAGTAATAGACTAGATTTGATTATTATCAGTGATGACCCCCACTGATGACATTATAGATGAAATTCAGAAACGTAATATTATGGTACAGCGTTATATACTACACATATTTACCTACCTGTATTTTGATATCTCCTTAGGCTGTTTTTTTAATTATTTTTATTTATTACTGTTATCACACGAATGACCGACCCCAAATATTTTAGATAAAGGTGAAGGAGAAGAAAACCCGTTATCCCATCAAATTCAATATCTTGTAATATTGCAACCGTGGTAAAGTCATCTCGTCGTAATTTCGTATGCGTCGGTAGTGTGGATACTATATAGATGACGGAAGACCGTTAGATTATTTATCCCGATTTCGATTTCGCGGGTTGTCTCGTGCAGTCGTGAGTATTATGATGCTACGGATCTCTTGAATTGACCATTTTTTCGTCGTCGTCGTTATATTTATGTAAGAATATGCTTGTAGAAGCCGCGAGAAACGGGAGGTACAACAAAACGTACAACATAAATACAATGTGTTGTATTATCGTGTTTTTTTTTTTTTTTTGTGCGGCACGGTCAAGGCCAAGTCTGCTCGGCTACGAAGGGAATGTGCGCGCACCGCGTTAGAAGCCATTGCAAACGTTCTATAACAATTGGGTCAGGTAATCGACTTTTTTTTTCATATGCTTCGATTACCTACCTATTTAATAGTCGCGACGACTTTTCGTATAGTCTGCCGGTTAAAATGTCGATAATCCGGCCGAAACGATTGTCCGTATAATTACTCGTTGTTTACCTGTACGCTGTGGTTGCAACGATTATTCGTAACGCGATTCCCGCACTTACCTCTCTATATACCGTAATTCGTTTTTTAATCGAATTCATATGGATTTGTTTCTTTTGCTTTTATTATATTATAATAATTATGTCCCCCGAGCAGCGGCGCCTCGTGAGCCTTGTAAGTGCAGGTGAGGTAAATATTTTGAAAACCATACAAGGTGAGGGGACGGTATAATATACACGGAGAGACGATTATAGATATCTATATATATATATATATATATATAACAATAGAAAACGAGAGTAGGTGCTGTTTTCAAAAATTATTATTTGTTGAATTCTACATACTTTAGTTATGAGTGATTATTTTCAATGTGCAATCTGTACATA